TATTTATTGAATACTTTTTCTGAAATAAAAAATTATTGTAGATAAATAAATTATTATTAAAAACTCATGCCCTACGATCTAATCAAAAATTTCAATGTAAGTTAATCTTTACTTAACGTGTTTGATACTTTATTTCCTACTTTGATCAAGGGCTAGAGGTTGTATGATTAAATTAAAAGCGAAATTTACAAATTTATTTCAAAGGGCAAAATAAATATATTTTATATTTTTTGTTTAGATATTATATATTAATTGCTATATTTGGGAAGTAGAAAATTGTAATACAATTTGTAATACAAAATTTATTAAAAATATATTTCTGTCATGGAAAACGAGCCTGAAATTTTCAAACGCCTCGTATTTTATCACGATTCTGTAGCTTCTAAGGACACAACCCAGATAACATAATGTTGCATAAGATATCTGAAAGACGTCTTTTTAGATGTCTAAAAGATGTTTTTTAGATATCTTATGCAACATGTTATCTGAGAATCTATTATTTTCTGATTTAGTTTTCCTTAGAATGCACTTTGTTTTACAGATTAAATTTAAATTAGACCATTAGAAGTGTTATTATAAAATGATAACAATATTAATAATGTAATAATTGAAGTTTTATATTTATGTTGTTATTATGTTGTACACTTTTCTAATGATCTATTTTAGGTTTAGCAAAACGTCCTAAAAAAAAAAAAAAACTAGATCAGATAATAGCAGAAAATGCTTCCTTAGAAATCATACAATTGTAGAGAAGCAAGAGACATACATTTTGGAATCTGTATTTAATACGAAAATTGCATAGCGCGTTTATATTTTTAATAAGATTTATATTACAAATTAATTTTTTACATCTTAAATATAGCAATAAAGAATGCCTAAACGAAGACCTGCATCCATTTAGATTTCTTGCCCTGAAATAAATTCACAAATTACGTCCCCAATTTCATCACAAATCTTTTGTTGTTCCTTAAAGTTGATTCAGGCAATTTCGAAGGTAAAAGCAAAGTGTTCCAGTACATTTCATTATTATTTTACATTTTGATTTCTTTTTTATTAGCGGATATATGTTCTTATAAATAAAGTGTACACGTGGCAATAGGCACGTGACCAAGCACGAATGAACTGGTTAAACCGATACATGTTGAGTAGTTCGACGATGCTTCTACTGACTGAAATTGCCATGTGTAGCAAATCTAATTACGTAAAACAACGAGAGAATACGCAACAATTGATGTGATTATCACAATGACTTTATGCTGAACTTACTCGCGTTAATAATTAAAGAAATAGAAACTGTCACAAGGCAATCAATATACGAATGATACATTTATTATAGATAAATATTTAGGTATATGTATGTATATTTTAGCGATTGAAAAAAAATGCAATCACGCGCAAGAAGATCAAAGATCTTTTTGCTAAAAGAATTTGCATTTGTTATATCTAGATCTTAATGTTTAAACAATTATGTTATTATTTTAAAATTGTTTGATGTAATAAGTACAATGCTAAACAAAAAAAATTCTTTAACAAAAATTTCTTACAGCTTTACGTTAAAAATTGAATAATAATATCTATAGTTAAAAAAAGAGTGTAAGTACAATTCTCAATGTCAATTTCTTGAAAAATCTCAGTTTTGATTTATACAATTAAATGTTACATAATGTTGTAATTGCCTTAAATACATTTATTTATCGTGTACGTAATCTATAATTAATTTTAAATCATTTCATTTTTTTTTACACGAAAAAATGCAGAAAGCAAGTGTGTTGTAGTTCACTATACAATTCTTCTTTTCTCCCAGGAATAATGAGAAAAGAAAATAAGAAAATGGGAAGAATACTTCCACATGAGAATATTCAAAATCAAATAAATTTCGGGCAATCCCCATGCTCGACATGAAGGACATCGATTCAACTTCGAATGTGAAATTTTATGAATAAAGGAGAAAATCTTGTCCCTTATTTCATTCCTTTAAATCTCTACACTTTAAATCTCTATAATACAGGTTTTATGTGCCATCTTATGTGTTTTCTCAGAGAATAAAACAAAGGGAATCCGCGCATAGTTATAATACTTTAGCATAATGAATTGTACAGCGTCAGTTTCTTAAACAATCAACGAATCTCAAACATTGCAGCTTGCATGATATAATTGTATGCTTTCTCCAATAACTAAAATATCCAATTTAACAATATTAACAAATTAAAGGGCTTGACAAGTTAAATTTTAACTAAACATAACAAGAGAATCATTAAAAAAAATGTATTTAAGTATATATAAAAATTCACTTGATTAATTTTAAGTGAAAATTATACTATAAGAACGATGATGTAAGTAAATATATAATATACTTCTATGACATATGTATAATCTTTTATATAAGATATTATCTCGAAAATAGTATGAAAGTTTCCGTCGGAACTACATAATTGTGCATACATATTAATATTTTTATCTATCTCCATAATTCGAAGTATGATCGATATATGCCTTTATCAAAACTAAGGGGGAATTCTAATTCCCCCTTGGCTTTGATAAAGACGTATATTCTATTTTAATAATCGGAATACGTGAGACAAGTGGTGTTCGACCACGTGCGTATTGTATTGCGACGAATAGTCGCGCACACGCGTGTACATACGTGCGTAAGTCGTGTTGGCACTTGGGCACGTGCTTTTCATTCCTCTTCGGCTGGCTTTGTGTCTTCATAGTGCATTGTTAAATACTTCACCATAAGGGATGACCCCTGTACATGGAAAAGAAATTTTTCGCCTTGTTTTAAATAACTCCTTTACATTCTTGGTTGAATATTGAGAAGTGTACAATTCTCTTATTGTTCGCCAACCACATGAACTATAATTACACTGTTCAATAAAACTTTTTTCTAAGCAGAATGATACTCAAATAGATAATAGAAACACAGCGCTTACAAAGCGCTAACAAAGTGCTAAAAAAAGCGCATATAATCAGCAGCTATATAAGCGCTGCTGTGCTACTTGGATAAGTCAACATAAATTTTTAAGTAATTCTAATGAGAGTAAGTGTTTCTTATAAATTTTTCACGATAAGAAACAATATGAATTTTGAGAAATTAAGAAATCAGCGAGGATAAGAAAAAATTGTTAACAAATCATCCGCCAATAAAGTATTAAAAATGAACAATATATTACTGAATTAAATAGATAAAATATTTATTATACTTCTTGT